GAGGAATCTGCTCCTGTTCACACCCGGACACAGTGGGGAGCCTGGGGCAGCCTTTACTGCACCTTGTCAGGGGTACAAGAGCCTTGCTGCCTTGGTGAGGGACACGGAAGCCACACGTGTTGGTATTTTCCGTGTTTGCAGTTGAGGCAGGGGCCCCAGGGGTCAGAGATCCAGGCAGCCTGGCGAGGAAGGGCCTCTTGGTCTTGTGGCAGTTCCCAGGGGCTGAGGCTGGGCAGGGCTGTGAGTTTGGTGAGGCCACTGGGACAGCTGGCAGTGTAGCATCGCCTTTTCTGAGGAGGAGAGAGGGAGAATGAGGAGGGAGGGAGAGTGTGGGTCATGCTCAGACCCCCCCCACACACACACTCACACTCTCAGACACCCCCCCACTGCTCACACAGGCAATGCACACCCACACACACTATATTCCTACAGACACTGAACACAGGCACACACTCAGACACGCTCACACGCCCATGCTGCTCACGGTCACGGCACATCCACACTACCACGTGCTCAGACATGCCCACATACAAGGGGGTACCCCAAAACCTAGAATGGTGCTGGGCAGGGCCGAGCTTTTGTAGTATGCATTTTCCCTGCTCGGAACATCAAGCAACTCACTGAGTCCATGCACACCGGGGTGTCGCCTGGGAAGGTTCTCTCTGGTCACAGTGAATTTTTTCATAAAATAAGTTTATCTGGAACCTCATTTTTTTGTGGTGGCCGATTTAAGAGAACAGAGTGCGGCTGTGAAATGTTGTTCCCTGCTCAGGAAAAATGTGCAGAAGCTGTTGTGATCCTGAACCCAGCTGACAAGAACAGCTCAAGTATATGAGTGGAGTTTCAGTTTCAAAAAAGGCGAAGTGTCGATCCATGACAAGCCTCATTCGGACGTCCATCAACTTCCCAAAGGGACAAAAATATCAACTTGTAGTGCATTTGGAGTTCGTTCCACCAGGTGAGACTGTTCATCAAGCTTTCTATTTAGAGGTTCTGGAAAGATTGTGCGACATGTGCGACAAAAAAGACCTGATTTGTGGCAGACGGGGACTGGTTTTACCACCAGGACACTGCACCTGCTCCCGCAGCCATCTCAGAGCTCCAGTTTTGGCAAAAAGCAGCATGCCTCTCTTGCCCCACACATCTGACTCACCTGACCCAGCTCTGTGCGACTTCCTTTTGTTTCCTTGAATGGAGAGGGTCATGCAAAGGCAGTGATTTGATGATGGAGAAGAGATGAAGAAAAAAACAAGGAGGTGCTGCCAGCCATCCAAACAGATGATTTTGAAAAATGTTTCCAACAATGGAATCACAGATTGACAAATGTATTAAGTGTAATGGAGAGTACTTTGAGGGTGAGAAGGTTGTTTTATAAAAAAAAATTTAAACACATAGCTTTGAAAAAAAATTCCGTATTTTGGGGTACCCTCTTGTATACCAACAACACTGTTCGTACACACACTCACACCCTCCCACACACGTGTACTCAGACACATCCACACACATTTACCTTGCACACACCCACTCCATACATACCACACAGATAACACACAGACACTGCTCACATGCATACATTCAGACATGCCCACACATATCACACAGGTATTGTACATGCACAAACACACCCATACTCACATGCTCAGGCACGCGCGTGCGCGCGCACACACACACACTGCTTACACAGGCTCAAGACACTGCCACACACACATGTCCACACACACTCACACATATGCCCACACACTCACTGGCATAAGACACAAAGCCCTACACACTCACACACACTCAGCCACACCAACATGAATTACACACACAGTGCACAGTCACCCCCACAGCCACATGTTCTTAGACTTACCCACACTGCCCACACCAGACACTGCACACATTCAGATACAGCCCCACACCCCCACATTCACTCACTCCCACCCACGCCTGCTCATGCTGCTAACACAAAGGCAATGCACATTTACACATTCAGACACACCCACACTACTCACACAGGCACAAGACACTGCCACACACACGTGCTCAGATGTGCCCACATGGCTCACAGAAACTACCACTCACATACACTCAGATACACACACTCACACTCTCATATGTGCTCAGAAAAGCCCTCACACACACAGGCTCAGTCACGCCTACACACTTCCACACAGTCACCAAATACACTCACGCAACTACTCAGGACCCCCCTCCCCAGCCCAGAGGAAGCTGACCCCTGCTCCTGCTTCCACCACCCACGCCTGAAGGAGGACGTCCCTGGGACTCCTGGGAGAAGCAGGGTTTGTGGAGCCGGGGCCCAGCCTCGATCCATACCTGTTTGCAGCCGAACAACAACCCCAAGACCACAATCAGCAGCAAGACCCCCCCAAGGATGGCCATGTACTGGGGCGCCTGCAGGGACTTCTGGGCAGCAGGGGTCAGGGGCCCATCCTTCACATTAAGTGGGGGGTTGACACTCTCCAGGGCACTGTCCACGATTAGGGGGTCTGCCAGAGATGAAGCAAGCGGTTATGGGCCCACCCAGTGAGCTAGGTCCCAGTTTGCACCCCACCCCCTCAGGAGAGCCCTGTCCACACAGCTCTCAACGGGGTTCTCGGGGGACGGTGAGGGCATGGAGGTTCCAGTGACATAGGGGCCGGGGCAGAGGGGTTGGGCAGCCCTTGGGAGAGTCACTATGTGGAGGGGAGTCTGCATCCAGGAGTGGGCTGGGGGGCTCTGCAGAGTGAACAGCTGCTGAGAGGGAAGCCCCCAGCACTGCAGGGCAGGGTGGGAGCAGCTGGGCGGAGGGCAGGCCTGAGTGCCCGTGCCATGAACCCAGGGCGCTGCTCCCTGCACTTTGAATGTGGGGTCAGTGGCAGGAGGGCGGGTGGCAGTTGTGGGCCCCTCCCTAGACGATGCAGTCTGTCTCAAGTGAATCGGAGCTCTGGCCCCACGTGGGGGTGCCACGCTCCAGCCCCCACACCCAGCCTCCAGCCCCTCCAGTCCCAGAACGAATCCCACTGCCTACTCTAGTCTCCAGCCCCCCACCAGGAGCCCTGCCCTATAAAGAGGGAGCCACGGCCCTCACTCAGCATCACACCGGGAGCCACCCCCCACCCCAGGCCCATGCTGGGAGCCACGGCCCTCCGGCCACCCTCCGGGGCCACGCCCCCTCGACCACACGGGTGGCGCCCTCACCGGTGACGTTCAGCGTGGTGGTCATAAAGCTGAGCTGAAGCCCTTCCAGCCTCCACTCATACTTCCCCGCCTGCGTGGCTCGCGCCTCCGTGATCAGCAGCGTGGCCTGCCTTTCCTGGACCCGGAGCTGCCACCAGCCGTGCGTGAAGTTTCCGGGGGTTTTCACGGAGAAAATCGTCCGGCAGGGCTGCCCGGGGCCGCAGTGCCTGACCGAGACTCCGGAGAAAGTGGTGGTGATGCGGCAGTCCACGACGGCTCTGGAGCCCAGCGGCACCTCCACCCTGGCGGAAGTGCAGTTGGGGCGGTCCCAGGCTATAGGGGGACAAGTCACACGCTGAGCCCACGGTTTCCCCTGGGGCAGAGAAGCCGAACCCCGCCCCTGGTCCCCACTGAGGGGCTCACGGGTACAGGGTGTGCTCAGACAAATGGCTGCTGGGAGGGGCCACCTCCCAGCATCATCAGGATTCCAGAGCTAAGGGCGGGCCACGGGGGACAGGGACGAGCTGGGTCGCCAGGTGCCTGGGCTCCTCCCTTCAGAGTCCATCAGACCACAGGGGCCACTGCAGAGGGGGGCGGGGGAGTGGGCGCCTGCACAGAGGG